GAGCTTTGAATCAATTCGGACCTTTAGACTGGTGCCCTGATTCCATTTGGATTCGGAGATTCGGCCACCGAATCAGGCCAAATCTCCTCCAAATCAAATCACCACCTGAAGCTTCACACAGCCCTAATGTACACCTCCCACCACTAGACAGCATTGAAGAATAGCTCCTTATCTTTCCAAAGACTGAAATATGGAGGTTTAAGATTATTCCATCACTAAATAAGGTTGCACAGCTTGTATTTTAAAACTTGAGTTTATCGTATCTGTTTTTACCATTTCTGTAATGAGAAATCTGTCCCAGAGAGTATGGAACATGAGGGTTGAGAGCTAAGAGGAGCTGCACACTAAAGCCGTAAAGATAAAGCAGGGAACTCATACATGGTCTGTGTTGTGTATCCTATTTTGGCTGGTGAGGAATTGAGGCCTTCCAGAGACCTGCGAGGAAATGCTTGGACTGTCGCCCATGAAAGGAACTTGCCATATCAACATCCCAAGGTCAAATAATTTGGTATTTGTGACTTCGAATGCCTGGTTTTATTTTCAGCTCTTTAATGTTATGAAAGGTCAGCAGGAATGAGCAACTTTCTGTGATGGATTTGCTTTTGTCCATGAAAGGTACAGGCTGCTGCTTAAAAAAAAAAATCTAAGTTAAAATGAAATTGTCTCACGCATTTAAAGATTCACACTAAACAGATACACTAGCAAGAAGCATAGGACAAGAAGTAGATTGCACATGTAGTTGAAAAGCAGGGTACACTATTGCCCAAACTGAATTTGAACAGGGTACATGGTGCAACATCAGTTGTTCCATGCCCCATCTGGAGGTGGAGGGCTTGCATTGCAATTTCTGTCAGCGTCTGCTTGTTATTCAGCTTGTGCAGATCATCAAATCCTCATCTCCTCTGTGCTTTGGTGCTGCTGGTCCTCTGCGCCTGGCTTTATTAGACACATTTATGGGTTTGGGAGGAACAGGGGATTTAATTCCCAAACGGGAACTTCCCATTAGGGGTCTTTCCCCTAAATGTAAAAGAGAATCAAACAGCTCAATTTAGCAGCAGCTACAGCAGAGCTGTGTCACTGTCTTCTCTGGAAAGGGGAGGGTGGTGTGCCCACAGTGGATTTTAATATATTTGTCAGTGCCAGACAGGTTTTGATTAACCACAGTTGTGTCTTCCACTGAAGCATGACAAACAGGGCCATCCATCCTTTCTACCACCACATGCTCCCTTCCAAACGAAACTCACAAGTCACTTATTCTCCTGTTAGTCCTTTATCAGATGGTGTTTAAACCGCCACTTGAAATCAGCCACACTGAGTCTATTATTGGCATTTCCACTTCTGTTTCCAGTTCTTAGTTTCTCAAATCGATGAACCTCTGTTATCATTATATTTATTTTCCGTCTGTGCCCTCAGAGCCATCAGCCAGTTCTTTTGTATTGGTGCACAAATCTCATTAACTTCTTGTTGTTTTTGCTTGTCTCCTAGTTTAAGAGTATATATCCTGGCTTTCAAAGGAGCTTCAGGGCTGTGGAGCCAAAGAGGCTATTCTGTTCAAGCAAGTCCCTGTTCAAGTCCCTAGAGGCATGACTCAACCAGAATATATCGGGGAGCAAATTTCTACAGCCTCTGCCAGAAAGTCACAAGGAGCAAGTGTCTATGGGTGCTGCAATATCTTTTTTAAACAGTGACGTATAATAGCCATTTTGGAAGGGGCTAAAGCAGCAGCAGTGGCCACCAAGCACCACTCCCTGAGGAAGATGACCCACTTAATGGAAAATATTGGATAGTTGTGGCAATTTATATTTGAGTTTAAGCAGCATTTGCACCTTTACATAATGAGAAGTGTATCTGAGGGATTACCTTCTGTCCTGTTGTCTGACTCTGCTAAGACTGGAATTGCTGATCATCTGCTATAACGTTTCAAGAGCATAGGAAGTGAGGTCTTTTGTGCCAGGTCTTGTTTCTCTGGAAAACTCTCCTCCTTAATTTACATCTATGCATTTATATAGCATCCTGCATCCTAAAAGATCCCCAAATGCTAAAACCAATATGCAAACTAATTGCAGGGAGTAGTGTACTCATTGCTAAAATGTAGTTATCCCTAGGATGAGAAGAATGAATTTCATTTAATCAAAGCAACATTACGCAGCGGTTCAGGACAGGAAGTAAAGTATATCTGTTTCAAGGTAAAATTGCAGGAAAGAATTTTAAGGTAACCAAAATCTCTTTATATTTTGCCTAGGAAACTGAATGACCCTTACTTGTATGAAGAGGCCAGGAAGAGAGTTCATGTGACGCATATCAGATATGCAGAACTTCTGTTTTATATTTCATCTGAAAGATAGATAGGACCAGAGGAAGATCCAGGGGTGGGTGGCAGTATAGTTGCACCCCCTTCAACTGTGTGGCACATGCACTGTGAGCTCTCCAAACTCACCAGCATGTCAGCTTAGTGCCTGCAGGGCTTTGCATGTGTCCTGAGGTCACCACATAGGCTCTGGCCACAGTCCCTGTTTTCAAGCAGCTTTGAAGTCCAGGGAGTGAATGCTGTCACTGCCCATCCCTCTTTCCCCCTGTTGCTGAATTCAGGGCAGAGTGGGAGGAAGGGAGGATGAATGCTGGTGGTGCCCATTTCCTCGGTTCTGGAGCTATATGAAAGCAGGAGTTCTGGCCAGACCCTGCGCTGACAATCTGGTGAGCTCAGAGGCCATGTGGAGCTCCAGCAGGTGTTTCACTGACATGCCAGGGAGCTCAGAGAACTCACTGGGCATGCGCCACACAGCTGAAGTGGGTGTAGCTGCACCCCCTGCACCACTATCCTAGATCTGCCAGTGGATAGGCCCTAGAGCAGCATAGGACTCCCATACACTTTACTGAGCAACCGGTTAAATATTTGCTTTAAGGAGAAATTGCCACATCCAAACTGCAACCACTACTTGCTGCAGTACATAGGTATTCTTTAGAGGTCTCTTATCCAACCAGGTATGTGGTTTGAGACTGTTTAGCTTATCTAACTGAATCATATCTGTATCTTCCTTCCAGTGAAGACCTTGATTCTTTCTCTGCTGTCCCCAAGGGCACAAGATTTGTAAAATGTACTTCCTTGTGCCTTTGGGGACCATTGCACTGTTGGATGCATTCAATTCCAGTGAAAGTAAGGTAGTTAATATTTTCTTGTCTAGCAACCCTGCTGAAGGTAAAAAAAAAAATCAAATTCTAGTTAGAGTGCTAAAGAAACCACATCATAAGTGGCTATCTAAGAGATGTGCAGAATCAACATATGTGGCTCCATGCTGTACAGCCTGAGTGGTGCTGGTGGAAATAAATTGGGTTTGAAGACTTTTTTTGACTAGTTGTCGCCGATATAGTCTCTGCAGGTGGGCTGGTGGCATTTATTTTAGCTAGCTGTAGAATTTAGTGGGTGCTACTTCATCCTCAGAAACTCCCGGTCTCCAGTCTTAAAATGGACCTATTACATTGGGCAGAGGTTGGCTGCTTAGGGACAACCAGCAGGTTCACCTGCTTTTTCTTGTGACAAGCAAGGCCAAAGTTGCCAGGCATTTTAGAGGAGAAAGATTTGTGAGGTGGCATAGTACCTTTTTATTGGCCCAACTTCAACAGGTGGAAGAGTTGACCTAATAAAGAGTTATTGATGCCCAAAACATTATCTGATGTTCTTCCCAACTATACAAGATGATCCAATAAAAATATTACCTCATCTCAGAAATCATGCTTCTCTCCCATTTCTGGAACATTATGGTGACATCACTATGATCATTTTCGAGGCATATGGAAATAGTTCTTACCCCATAGAAAAGATTCAGCTTGGGAAGGGTGCCAAGGGCTAATTCTTTGCTTTGGAAAGAAAAAGGGTATGTGGCTTTTAATATACAGGGCTGTAGTCCTTAGCTAATCAGTGACGAGAGTAACAAATAGTAGAAAAGTGCAATACAGGAGGCTGCCAGCCTGGAAAGTAGTGATTCATGTAGTTGTTATAAGTTAAGTTTTGTGTTATACGAGATGCCTTTTAGGTTCTCTGCTGGTTTCTCTTCCCCAGTGCACCTCCTGGTGTCTTCTTGTCATTTTCAGTTTTTTGTTCTTATAACTAACTTGCAACATTTTTGGTCATTAAATCTTTCACCCTCTGGCTCCTACTTTTTGTGAGTACTCATGGTTCCCCTTAATATGACACCTGTAATACTTCAAAGGGTGTGCAGACTCCCATTTTTCTACTCAAAAATGTTTTTATTTACAGTTTGACACAGGCCCAGAAGTGTAAGGACACCCAGCAAATAATAGGTTTATTGCTGATTACCAAGTAACTGCCTAGGCAGAACTGCTTACACAAAAGCTTTGTCCTGTGTGTTGTGAGAATGCCTAAGGCTGAAACTCCTGGGAAATAGATGGCAAGAGTAGCTCAAATGTTAACAGAACTCAAAGAATAAGATGTGAATAATTTATTTCCATGAAAAGAACAGAACAGCCATATGCCTTTCCGGCTGTAAATTTTCAATGCTATGAAAAAGGTCTGATGACCAATGTGAAATATATTGTTAAAGAAAGGAAATACAGAACATTCCAGTAAAGTTGAAGTAGCCATTGTGAAAATTACAGTTGACTAAGGGATTCCTTAGCATTTTGGGGAGCTGTCAAGAATTGGATCATATGCTGAACATCACTGACCACACCTGCCATCTGACTACCAATGGTTTGCAGCTCCTTGGCCATGTTACCTATATCTCCTTGCAGTCCAAAAACTGCATGTTTTATCTCTTCCAGAGTGACTGTGACTTTCCGTATAGTGTCCACGTCAGAGGAGCCTTCAGCAGAAGGCATGAAATGGTCAGACATATCTGCTTTGTTCTGCGTGGGAAATATCCCGCAACTCCCACCAGATATGCGGAGAGTTCTGCTCTCAAAACTGTTCACTTTTCTAGCAGAACCCCTTGAATTATCTGGTAAGAGATTCAGGATGCTAGTATTCTCACTTTCTTCATCAGATATCTGGCAAGGAGGAAAAGGATGTGTAACCCTGTCCTTGTGATCCTTGAGGAAAACCGATGAGGAGGGCTGCTGGGGTAAAGTCAAGTATGAAGGTCCACAGGAAGGCATAAGATAAGGATGAACTGTGTTCTCTGGAATGACCACCTTAGGGGATGAGATGGAGATGGTGGAAAAAGAAGTTGTTGTTGCAATAGAGCTGGTTAAATCTAAAACATATACATAAAAGAGAGAAAAATAAATATTTTGTACAAGATTTGCCTACAAATAACTTCTAATTTGTGGACTTTCAACTGTTGCAGTCATGGCAAATTATTTATTTAAAAAATGTCTGAAGGCCCAAACTAGGATTTGTACCTCTTTGTGCACAGAACACCACAAACAGAGCAAAGTGGCATTTTTTTCCCCCTAATAGAATTACAACTGAAAAATACAAACAGTAGAATTGGTAGGAAAATGGCATTTTACGCCCCCTCCCCCACAATAGAAAACATGTTTTTCCATTTAAGAATAATTTCCCCCATTTTAGCAAAGACAAAGCAAAACTCTTCTGCCAAAAATCAAACATTTTTTAGAGAAGCAGACGTGTCTTCTTTAGTTGAAAATCTAGTTTAATGTTTGACATAGTTACAATGGAGATGTGCTTAACTAGCCCTACCAAACAGAGAGAGGGCAGTAGAGTGGTTGTCACAAATAAACAAACAAATATGGTGATGAATTGGCCCAGCTTTGGTAGGCACATGAAGGCCTCTGCTTGTTTTGTCTAGCTACATACCTGGCACACTCACAGAAGAATATTCTCCAGCACTTGCCAAACCTGAAATTGCAGTGGTGATGGCACTTGAGGGCACTCGCAGTGACTGTTTTCAAGTTCCCTGTCTTTGGCATGCTTGAGAGAAGCCACAGGCTCCTAGAATGCCTTCACTACTGCATTTATGGATTTGGCACATGTAAGTGAGAATGGGGCTTGCTGGAGAGCATCCCTCTCAGAGGGTCCTAGGGGCACAATATGGATGTGCCCTGAGTAACTTAACAACAACAAAGAGCTATAAAAGCTGAATTTTAATGAATGCTACAGTGGTGTATGAATTTTCATACACCACTACATTCTAGGGTGGGAGCAAAACCAGAAATGAACCCTCCCCCTTACAGTATATTTTGGACTAAGATGATCACAGTATAAAGTCATACATCTTGTCTTATCAATGCTATTGAATTACCTGGGTATAGTATTGTATGGAGTAGATTATTTCAGAGCTACAAGCCAAAATGGAGAAGACTCTAACTGATGGATGTTTGGAAAGGTACAATTACATTGGGGGGGTGGGGGGAGTTCCTTGTTCGGCACTTTCTATCAATTGAAAAGAAACCAGAGGAGGAAGAAAGAGTTTTTTTTCCCCTGAGTTCCCATTGGTAAATAATCAGTTCCAGTTTGGTCTCAGCGGTGACTAAATGGGACTTAAATAAAATGTCGCCATCTAAAGATGAAGTGACACCTTAAACTTAGACCATACTAAATCTTGAAATGTTAAAGTTGTTAAAGTTAAAGTTAAAACGTGTTGTGAGTGGTCCCATGGTACGGGTTAATAACATTTCCTGCCTGCACAGCTCTGACTTGTCACTGGCAGGGAGTGGAGGGGGGTGGCAGGGTTGGTGAGCCAGGGGCATTACTAGGAACTGGGACACCTGGGTTGTATCCCTGTTGGGGTAGAGGGTGTGGGTGGTGCATCCTGGGATGCCGGAGGACTGCAAATTGATCATTTTATGTTTGTGTCATAGACTGAAGTTACCTTACCACAAGCTAGGTCTCACAGCCCAAGTTAACCCTCAACTGAAGTGGCATAAATTTGAGAAACTTGGAAAGCATTTAGCATGAGTTAATGAGCTTTAACATGTAGATGCTCACATTTTAAGTGTCCTAAGTATGATCCAAGGGTAACATGTAATGTCACCCTAAGTTTGAAAAAGAGATTCAATTTGGCTGTGCTTCACCAGCCACAGAACTCAGTAGACACATAAGTTCAGGTAGTATTTCCATTTTGGACTGCACGTTTCCTCTGGTGTCTACAGCTAGGCTTCTGTGCATGTCTGGAAGTGATCAAGTTTGATCAGTGAGGCACCTAACTCACTTAAGTTTCTTAGTGATCCGCTTTGGTGTTGGGATTTGCCTAAGTCCATTGTGTGGCTTGATCCATTACACATGTTCAGAGCATATCTAACTCATATTGACAGGACGGAATTCAACTCAGAAACCACAGTGGGGATATAACTCTCTACTTTTTGCCCAATAGCCTTATAGTTAAAGCACTCAGGAAGTGGAAGATATAGGTTTTAGGTCCTCGTTACCCTGAGGGAATTCAAACCTTGGTCAAATCAGATTGCTCCCCTGAGAACCGGGATGTCTAATACTAAAAACGTCTGAGACCAAACAAGTTTGGAGGCATGTGGCAGAGTTGTGGCTGTAGGTGGACTTAGGTTTTTAAAAAGGGGATGCAGATGGTGTGATACATCATTACATATAACAATGTGTAGTTTTATCAAGTTAAAAAGAAACCAGGAGCTTTACTAATAAGTCAAGCTATATTATTCAGTTTAAGACTGGAGTAAAAGCAAATATACATTTATTGGAATGTCCATTAATATGCTGTATAATATAGTACATATACCCCCCCAACAACTAAGCAAAAAGTAATCAAAATACATTGTTTCAGTAGTCCTGCAGTCATTGTAATTGAATGGACATCTCTTTTTCAGATCCATAATGCAAAATCTAGCCTTCTTGAACATCTTGACAGTGAATCCAATGCTTCACTAAAAGTTATTTCCACACCTGAGTTAATGTTTTTGACTAGAGTTAAAAACAATCTGCAGGGCTGTGAAACAGGAGCTACATTCCCAGGAGCAGCTCACAGACAGCAGAATTGCAAAAGAAAGGATAGCTTGATGAGCTGAACAAGATCATTAAAAAGAAGAGTGGGTTGCTAACCCCAATGGAATGAAGAGTTTAGAAGGAAACAGGTAGATTATAATGAGCCATGAAGTCAGTTGACTCCATCGCTGCTGCCTGAATAGAAATGTTGTTGCCACTGACAAGCAACTGCTATTAAATTTTGGGTGGGCCAGGAATCAAAGGGGATATTCCTGTACCCCCTGGCTCCACTCTTGGTTGTGGTGTTGCCAACTATAGAGCTTAGCTGTTTGACTCGTTTTCTTTTTTCTGGTTTTGAACATTAGAGTTTATACTTTTTAAGCTATTTTTTCTCCCCGTGAACCTGCGAACTAATTAGAAGGGCTCTTTTTAACCTCCAAATTTGTCAAGAATCAGAAGCATTAGAGTTTGTATATACCAGCATATAAAGTTCAACTACTGTATTGCTAAGGACACTGTCACAATAAGGGAAATAATTTATTATTTTGATTTGCTTGGAAATTAACTATAGTATATCTTTTGAAGAGATGAGATCTGAGCTGGCCCTACATTTTGCAGTATTTTGTATAAAGAAAAGTCATATGGGGATGCAAGCTGACTTCAATGACTCTTGTAGCACATTTATAGGATTGAGTTTATCAACTTGTTAGGAGACTGTGATGGCTAGAACTAGAGGAAATAGAGATGGAATTGCTCCAGCAAATGATAGGGGTTGTGTGATAGTGATTTTCCCTGGAGAGCAATGAAGACCTTATTGTTTCAGGTGGGTTGGTAGGGAGCAGGGTCATAACAGGGAAAAGAGTTCACTTGAGGACTGTAGAGCTCCCAAAAACAAGGGGTCCTAAATGGCTGCCTGCACAGTTAGCAAGAGTTTGAGACCGGCTGTGTGGGTGAACCATTTCCCAGAATAAGCATTCAGTTATAGTGAAATTGATACTTAGTAAGTATAAGTACAATGCAAAGTTTTATGTGAACACTGCTGAGCTCAATGTGTGATCTCTCAAGACCCAAAGGGTTTGATGCTGGCCTGATCTACATACCAGAAAGCACCTACTAAGGCATGTGACATGGTGCTAAATTGTAACAGGTGAAAATTCACATTTACCAGCAGCGCAGCTACCCATTTAAAAATTCATGGGGCTGCCCCTGGTTTTCACACATTAGTCCTGAGAGCATGGAGCTCGTGGGACAAGCAGACAGTACAGAACATCTATTTCCGGGCCTCACTGGCATACAGTGATATTGCAGTAACAGCTAAATATGTGAGTTCCTTTGCAATCCTCTTCCCCCTACTTTTTAGGACAAACTGGCGACCTATTCCACCCCAGAACTGCTTTAAGTGATACTGGTTTGTAATGGGAATGGCAGGCTATTAACCAGAGTGGTTAATCCTTCCCCCCTTTAAGGGACAATTTGGTATTGAGCTAACCTTGGTATCAAGTTTTCCTGGGGAAATTCTCAGCTTTTTCTGAGGAAAATCTGGCTTGTTTCAGTTGTTAGAGTGACAAAGGGGACTTATCATGGGCCGTGATCTTGGACCTTAGGAATGCCTACAGTGCAGTGGCAGAAAGCTCATGGCTGATGCAAAAAATCCCACCCAGTGCTCACACTCTGTGCAAGTCAGATCTGGAAATGGGGCCGTAAGGGTGCCCTGAGGCCCCTCATTGTTATACTCAAGGCCTGGGTTTCCAGCACAATCAAAAGCAGCAGCCTGAGGCTCTTCCAGAGCATTGTCAGCTCTCTGCTGCTTCAGTGTACACTTATCCTTAGTCTTCACACACTAACTTTATGCTGATGCCAGATCTCATTGCTTCCTTATACGCTGATTCCATCTAATATGTGAAAATGCAAATACAATTCAAATATTTTTTCCTGAAGGATAAATAAAAAAAAGATGGTGTTTATACTTGCTCTAATAACTATAAGCTCAGAGAACAGGTTTCTTTTTTTCCTTCCCCCTGCCTCAGGCCACTAATAATATGCTTCTCCTTACCAGTATCTAAAAAGTAAATGCATATATAATTCTTAGTGACAGATATTCAGGAAATACCTTTGTTATGTTACAAATTCTATGTACAACTAATAGAAGTCTTTACAGCCTGTCTCTGTTTTCAAATGTCTGCCACCAGGTGAAA